ACGTGAGGGCTGTCAGACTATGTAGTACTGTCGGAAGGGGTCGCTTCTTCCAGTATGGAAGCGTTCGGACTGTGGACGGAAGGATGTTCGTCTGAAATTTCACGTGGGACTTGGGGTTGTTGGGAAAGGATGTTGTGTATAACGAGTTCGTCTTTCAAGGAGTACTTATACCCCAAGGAACAAGGACGAATGAAACAAGGGTGGTATATACAATTGAACCATAAGATAGTGACAGTTGAAGCGAGAGAGCAAGGTGGATGATGACAAAAAGCTGTCCCAATTGTACAAGCCAACAAGAGAGAAGCGAGGACGGTTGCAAAGTCAACGCAACAAGCAAGAACATGTGTTTGATAACAAATGGTCCCGGGCCCATAATAGCCAACAAGCGGAAAGTTCTGAAAAACAATACAGTTGTTGACACTTTCACTTCCTTTGGGCGCTATCACCGAAGGAGAAGAAAGTGGCCACATTATTTATTTGGTGCGCTAATCTGATTTCGAACCGTGGGAACGGATCGGCTAATCCCGACTGGCCTATTTAACAACACCCATTGACCAATCTGGCAAGCCAGAAGGCGTGGAGGATTGTTAATACCCCGGATAGAATTTATTTCTATTCAAGAATCATGATGGACAACCCTTGAATCAATTCGAGTGTGGCCACACGCTTTGATCGTAGATTGTGGACTCGTTTCAAGGGATACTCAGTCCCATATAATAGTGAATTGAGCGAGACATAAGACCATCCGGTGATACATGGTGTGCACCTGCTTATAGGTACTGCATTTCTGGTGTTGCATGTTGGATGGCATCGGAGTTGAGTTGGGGTTAAAACCTCAGTTTATTTTATATACTAATGGCCCTTGAATTGAGGCATAAACCCATTTGTGGCACATCGTGTGCGCCTGCCAACTTTGGGACTTCAAACTCTTGATTTGTAAGCAGGAGGTCCCTCGTTCGATTCGAGGTCGGGTGATGGGTGGCTGGTACTAGGGATTTTTTTTCCGAGGCGTAGAGACTGGGTCGAATGTATTATTGCTGGATATAAATAGCTCTAAGATGAGAGGATGGTTGCTCATACTCTATGGGAGGAGTTAAGAGATAGTAGGTATGAAGAGGATAAAAATATTTCAACAGGGCAACTTATATAACCCGAGTTGAGAGGCAGGCACCCGAGGCACATGGTGTGCATCTGCTACTTATAGTGGTACTTCCAACGATTGTATAAAGCAGGACCTCCCTCGTTCGATTCGGGGTCGGGTGATGGTCATAAACCAAATTTTCTTTATTTATTTTTTAGTTTTTTTTTGAGGGTCATTCGAATTTGCTTTCGCGCTCTCCCCATCCTTCTGGCTGTTTTGGTTGTGGGCCTGCAACATTTTATCCAACACTCATGTCTGGGGAGCAAGACATGATTGAACTCTCGATCTATTGAAACTTGAACCGCTATTTTTGCGCCTCGGTTTTTTTTTGTGTAGATAATACCCCAGGAATTGAAGGATGATAAGCACCCGAGGCACATGGTGTGTGCCTACTTTGTTTGAGATCGTCTAAGGCATATAAGCAGGAGCTCCTCGTTCGATTCGGGGTCGGGTGACGGGGGTCCGCTATTAGCATTTTTTAAAATATTATTTTTTCTCGGTCTTCTTTCGCGGTTGGTCCGATTTTGTTTTTACAGTACTGTATCCTGGACGCTGGAATTTTTCATTCAACATTCATCTGAGTAGGAGGCAAACCCGGGTTGAACTAGTTTTATTTCACCGGGCCAGCTTGAAATTAAGTATCAATTTCTCACCAATATATTACCCAGAGTTGAAAGGTAGACAAGCACCTGAGGCACATGGTGTGCACCTGTTAGTTGTAACATACCATTGCATCAAGCAGGAAGTCCCTCGTTCGATTCGGGGTCCGCTGATTGGTTCGCTGATCTACCGTTTTTTTTGTTTTTTTGTTTTTTTTGTTTTTTTGTTTTGTGTTTGTGTTTTTGTTTCAGTCTTCTTTTGCGGTTGGTTCGATTTGCTTTTGCAGTCTTATATTTTCCGTATTATCCTGGACACTGGACTTTTTGTATTCAACATTCATCTGAGTTGGAGGCAAGCCGGGGTTGAACTCGCAACGGGCCAGCTTGGAATTAGTTCTCAATTTCTCACCTATATATTATCCGGAGTTGAGAGATAGACAAGTGCCCGAGGCACATGGTGTGCACCTGCTTTACTTAAGGTGACTGTCCCTCTGTAAGCAGGAGGTCCCTGTTCGATTCGGGGTCAGGTGATGAGCATTCTCGACCAGTGTTTTTCTCTTTTTTATTCCTTCTCAGTCTTCTTTCGTTGTTGGTTCGATTTGCTTTTGCAGTGTGATATTTCCTGTATTTGTGAGACATACAGATTTTTTTTTGGTGTCAGGAAGCATCTGAGTTGGAGGCAAACCGGGGTTGAACTCGCAACGGGCCAGCTTGAAATTAAGTATCAATTTCTCACCTATATATTACCCGGAGTTGAGAGATAAACAACCACCCGAGGCACATGATGTGCACTTGCTTTACTTATTGTGATTGTCCCTCTGTAAGCAGGAAGTCCCCGTTCGATTCGGGTGATGAGTCTCTTAGTTCACCATTTTTTTTCTTCTTTTTTTCTCAGTCGTCTTTCATGGTTGGTTTGATTTGCTTTTTATCTCAGACTTTCTGTATCCACGAGCTATACAGATTTTTTTTTATTGGTGTCAGGAATCATCTGAGTTGGAGGTAAATCGGGGTTGAACTCGCAACGGGCCAGCTTGAAATTAAGTATCAATTTCTCACCTATATATTACCCGGAATTGAGAGATAAACAAGCACCCGAGGCACATGGTGTGCGGCTGCTTCGTTTGATATCTTTTGAAGGCATACAAGCAGGAGTTCCTTGTTCGATTCGGGGTCGGGTGATGGGTTTGAGCCACCTTTTTCTTTCTTTCTTTTCTCTCAGTCTTCTTTCGTTGTTGGTTCGATTTGCTTTTGCAGTCTTATATTTTCTGTATCCTGGACGCTGGATTTTTTGTATTCAACATTCATCTGAGTTGGAGTTGGAGGCAACTCGCTCTATTTCAATGGAGCAACTTGTAAATTATATCAAATCGTCGAAGCCTAGCCAATGTAATAACCCGGAGTTGAGAGACAGACAAGCACCTGAGGCACATGGTGTGCATCTGTTAGCTGTGGCGGGCAATTTCATCGGTGGCAAGCAGGAAGTCCCTCGTTCGATTCGGGGTCGGGTGATAGATGCTCGAGACTGGTATTTTTTTTTGCCTTTTTTTCTCCGTCTTTTTTCGCGGTTGGTTCGATTTGCTTTTACAGTACTAGATCTTCTGTATCCTGGACACTGGCACGTGCTGAATCTTTGTATTCAACATTCATCTGAGTAGGAGGCAAACCGAGGTTGAACTCGTTCTATTTCAACGGGTTGACTTGAAATCTGTTCTCAATTTCTCGCCTATATATTATCCGGAGTTGAGAGATAAACAAGCACTCGAGCTACATGGTGTGCACCTGCTTTACTAAAGACTGTTTGGATGTAAGCAGGAAGTCCCTTGTTCGATTCGAGGTTGGGTGATGGGTATTCGCGAACCACGACCAGTGTTTTTCTCTTTTTTATTCCTTCTCAGTCTTCTTTCGCGGTTGGCTCGATTTGCTTTTGTAGTCTTGTATCCTGGGCGCTGGATTTTTCCATTCAACATTCATCTGAGTAGGAGGCAAACCGGCCCGGGGGTTGAACTTGTTATATTTCAACGGAATTTGTTCTCAATTTCTCACCTATATATTACCCGGAGTTGAGAGATACATGGTGTGCACTTGCTTTACTTAACGTGATTGTCCTCGCATATAAGCAAGAGCTCCCCGTTCGATTCGGGGTCGAATGAGGGGTATTTTGTATTTGTATACAGACTTTTTTCTTTGGTGTCAAGAATCATCTGAGTTGGAGGCAAACTGGGGTTGAACTTGTTCTATTTCAACAGAATTTGTTCTCAATTTCTCACCTATATAATAACCCTGTTGAGAGATAGACAAGTACCCGAGGCACATGGCGTGCACTTGCTTTACTTAACATGATTGTTGTGAGCATGTAAGCAGGAGGTCCCTGTTCGATTCGGGGTCGGGTCATAAGTGCTTGAAATCAGTGCTTTTTTTTCCTTTTTTTTTCTCAGTTCTTCTCTCGGTTGGTTCGATTTGCTTTTTATCTCACACCTTCTGTATTCACGAGACATACAGATTTTTTTTTTATTGGTGTCATCTGAGTTGGAGGTTGAACTCGCAACGGGCCAGCTTGAAATTAAGTATAAATTTCTCACCTATATAATAACCCTGACTGGAGAGTAAGGCAAGCGCCCGAGGCACATGGTGTGCACCTGCTGTACTTAAGACAGTCCTATTTCAATGTAAGCAGCAAGTTCCCCGTTCGATTCGGGGTTGGGTGATGAGTTGCTTAGTTCACGGTTTTTTTTTTTTTTTCAGTCTTCTTTCGCAATTGGTCCGATTTGCTTTTTTTTATGTCAGACTTTCTGTATTCACGAGACATACAGATTTTTTTTTAGTGTCAGGAATCATCTGAGGTGGAGGTAAACTGGGGCTGAACTTGCAACGGGCCAGCTTGAAATTAAGTATATATTTCTCACCTATATATTACCAAGAGTTTAGAGGATGGCAAGCACCCGACGCACATGGTGGGCACCTGTTAGCTGTAGTGTGCTGTTTGATCACCGGCAAGCAGGAAGTCTCCCGTTCAATTCGGGGTCGGGTGGTTCCCTTTAGTTAGTGTCCTTTTTTTCTTTTTTTTTGATGTTGGTCGTTCGAAATTCCCTGCAAACAGGGCCATACTGTCTATTCATGTAGGTAAAGATCTAGACCAGGACCCGATACACCCGAGTTTAATATTTGTTCAGATTCAGAATATTTGATGTTAAGTCGTAGTCGAGGTACTGCAGCTCGACTTTAGATGCCAGTATATCTCAAGTTTATGGAAGGGAGGCAACCACCCGATGGCACATGGTGTGCACCTGTTACAAATATTGGGATTGTTCTAGAGTGTAATCAGGAGACTAGTGTCCCCCGTTCGATTCGGGGTCGGGTGATGCTTGTTGAACCAAAAAGTTTTTGCTGATTTATTTTTCGTTCCCTTTTTTCGAGGCGCGCAGCGTTGAGGGTGGATAGTATTTTTCAAGGTGAGTGTGAATATGCACATGCTCTATGGAAAGAGATGAAGAGACGGCACGAAGAGGATGAAAATACAATAAAATGGGTGCCAGTGGGACGGCGTTGGAGCTCGGAGACGTACCAGGATAAATAAAGGAATTACTGTAAGTGAGTGAACGAATGAGATGGGAAATTGGGACTAGTGAGTTAACTGTTTAGGATGGCCAGCGGTGCCGAGGGAGAGCTTGAGATCTCAACGCACGCCTCGGAGAGAATCCCTTGCATTCGCTTAGTTCCCTGAAACGAAACAATCGAGTAACCAGCGCGCGCGAGTTATTGAGCGAGGGAACGGCGAAGGGATTCGGGTGATTAGATTGGGGCCGAAATAAGGAGACGTCTTGGTTCTACATGCGAAGATTTGGCCGACCGGGATGAAGAAATCCAAATACAAGGACGCATTCATCGCCCACTCGAGTACTAGATAGTAGATTTGATCATTGCGCGTGCTTGGTGCGAGTTCACAGACGGTAGAAATTTTGCGCGGAGGAATATATGCTACGCCGCTTGAAGCTGCTTAGAAACAGATATATAGACAGCGACCCACGGTCGAATTATCGAGCGAGAGAGCGCCAGTGAGCGATTGGGACTGATAATGCCCTCACGCTCACTTGAAGTTGTTTGTCGTCCGTCGCTGGGTGGGCGCTTCGTCGGTGTTCGCAGTGCCGCACTGATCTGTGTGGCTAGCGGTTGGATGCGCTCTGCAGCGGCCTTTGCGTGGCCCATTTCAGCTCATTGGCATTTGGTGGCGCGGGAGACAGAAATGAGAAATATTCAAGAAATAATGCTCCTCGGTCTGAATATTCGGATAAACGGAGCAGGGCGGTGCAGAGCGGGGTTAAGCGACGAGAGAGTGGCAGATCGCGCCAGTGAATCAAGGGAAGCCTGTGGAGGCCGCGATTGAGCTCATCGTCGTCCAAAGTCAAGGAAGACGGCAGGCAACAGTCTAGTCGCCGGTCCCCTTTCTTTTCTGACCAATCAGCCACGGCCCCCCGGCTCAATGTGAGCTGGTTGGCGTGCTTGCGCGCCGACCGAGCGAACCTTGAGCCGCATAAAAATTTCCTAGATTACAACTTTTTCGTTTGGAGCCAAGGCGCACTTATGCAGTGCCAAGGAGTGGTGCCGACTCTCGGCCGAAGCGCGGAGTTTGAAAAACGGCGGACTCGTACTGCCATGCGAAGCACTGGCCCTTCACAGCAAGTCGTACTGTACGTTCGCTCTTGACTCTGTCCGCCGATATCCCTTCCCGTTTCGCATTCGACCCACTCTTCTACCAACCCGGATTATCGCGCGACGACGACGCGGACCAGGCACCACGATGCTGCTTTTGTTATCTCTCGTCCACACGCTCTCCAAAAATGCGAGCCTTGCCCAGCGGAATACCCTGGACTTCCCAGCACCTGTCAACTCTTGCGACAGTATCCACTCCCGGACGCTGTTTAATATCGTTTGGAGCTGTCTGGCTACCATCTTCGCGTACACTTGGGTCTCCATGCACCCGAATGTGCCACCACCCCACCAGAGCCGGTTGGCACTTCTTTGGGGCCGGCTCAAGATGATGCTCATCGCCGTCATTGTGCCGGAAGTGATGGTGGGATTCGCGGCCAGACAACTTTGGGGCGCTCGCAAGTTCTCAAAGGGTATGTGTATGTTTTGTTCGGCGCGTACGTTGTACTCAGTCGGCGTAGAATTTAAAAAGAAGGGGTTCCCAATAACGTTGACCCATGGACTTTTCATCTCTATGGGTGGATTCGTGTCCCGCACCGGACATCCTATCGTGACTATCAACAGCTCACTGACAACAAGGAGTATATGTCCGCCATCCACGATGTTAAAGCCGACGATATCAACGACAAGAGTAAAAGCAATGCGCTGTCCAAAGGCGTCGCACTCTCGCAGGGACTGTGGTTCATGACACAGTGTATAGCGCGTCATTCCCAACACCTTCCAGTAACCCAACTCGAAGTCGCGACGTTGGCGTTTGCCGTCGTCAATGTCTTTATCTGGTTCCTTTGGTGGGCGAAGCCTCTTGATGTTGAGCAGCCTATCACGATTGGACCTATCGAGGAGCCGCAAGACACGGAGCCTACCACCTCACCCTTGATCCTAAGGGACAAGTTCTTTGGTATGTTAAACGGCAATTATTCCCCTTACCTTCCGACAGAATCCACCTCGGTTCCCATATTCTGGTCGTTGGACTCGAAAGAAGCCAACGACGCTGAAAAGAATATCCCGGTCTACATTGAGTGTCTCCTCGGCACCGTTTTCGGTGGGATCCATTGTGCCGCCTGGAGTGCAGACTTCTCTTCTACCATCGAAATGTGGATGTGGAACTCCTGCTCCTCAATAGTTACCGCAATTCCTGGGGTCTTTGTAGTGCTCAGTGCATGGCACGCGGCATTGGCCGTGGGAAGTGCGCTCAGAAGCACCCTTTCCATAATCTTTACAAATGTTTTCGGCATTTTGTTTCCACTCTACATCATCGCGCGCCTATTCCTCATCACCATTCCCTTCACATCCCTCCGAGCCCTTCCACCCGGCGCGTTCGTCGACGTTGACTGGAGTGTTTATATCCCGCACCTCTAGCTGTGAACTTGTCATCTTCTATGTCTTTCGAATACATCTCCTGGACAGTTTTGGCACTGGAATGGATGCTTGTGCAGATCTTGTACCTAGCATATCTCTCATTTAGGGTTGTTTGAGTTTTGTCATGGTCAGGGCGCTGTGAGACGAACGGAGCATTTTCCGCGGTGCAATGTGTTATATTACAACGAAGGGTGAGCCTGACTTGGGTCAACATTAGAATATACAGTAATGCCACGGGAAACAAATATCGCGGAAGGTGGACTCACATCGTGAGTGTCCAGTCCCGCTAATTTCTCCCTGGTCACCCGTAGTCCACTAAATATAAAATATGATTTTCGCACTTAATCTCATTCAGCTCGAAACCACACGACGCCATTCGAGGCTATCACTATGTGACGAACTCTGATGATGGGGCGCCGTCGAAAATGAGCAGTCCCTGGTTTTCTTGACCCGATCAACAAATATTTATGAGGGAATTGTGCTGCAGTGCACTCGATGACGCGGTCTTGATGAAATGAAAGAAAAAAATGTGGCGGGCAAGGCTTCTTGCAGTCAAGATACAAGGGGACAAATATAATATCCCTCCGTCTGGTCCAGTTACAGTAGAGTTCCTCATGTGATGATGTGGAATAATATCATATGGAATAACCGTGATATGGAATGGGATTTTGGCATCTCCCGACCTGGGACAAGCCAAATATTCCACTCACCGTCTTCTGGAATATGGAATAGCCCTGTGAGGTGGATATTCCATTCTGCGGGTGGCCAAAAATGGTAATTTCAAGACTACGTAACATTTATTTGGAATGTTTTGGCCCATAAAATGGCCCCCAGGGCCAGCTTCACTGAGTGGTCATATTCCAAATCTTGCTCCAATTAAATACGTTGGCCTGAAACTTTCTTCATGAACACCTTGGAATACCCTCATACGTGTCTCAGGCAACCAAAACATGAAAAGTGTCAATTGGAATACAACTTCCAGGATGAAAATCAGTGATTCAACAGAGTACTGCCATCCAGACTTGCCAGGCCTTTTCCCCTTTATTCAGAAGCAGTGCATGACATAATTCTAATTTCTGGTGCAATTTTGCAGATTTAGATCTTGATTTACAGCTAGGTGTGTTACGCTGCAAGAAACAGCCACTGTTAAACTCATATGCTCCAGGTATAACACTGTTGTTCGAATATTCTGCTGTTTACGGGATGCATTCTACCCCTTCCAATGAACATTTCATCCCCCACAACCTCTCCCATACCCAACCCATACCACTTTCCCATCCCCTTATTCAAGAGAGTACATACAACTTTAGTACCATAGGCGTTCGCTGAATGCCTACTCCGGGCTTGAATGCCTATCAGGAGATCGAACACCTACTTTCACAATGAGCGACTATTCCGCTCGGCTAACACTCGGCTAACGTTTCCATTCGGCACAGTAAGTAGATGAGCTGATGCGATCAACAGCCTCTTTCCTCCTCCCACCACCATCTACCATCCCGTCGCTACCAGCACCAACCCGACCAAGTACCTGCACCATCGTGCCCAATACCGTGTCATTCTACGGCTTCCGTCGGCTCAACCATTGGGAACAGAAAATGAGGAAGAAAGTGCATAATAAAAGGTGCGCGTGATGCCGTCTCCCTGCCGCCGCATGCCTTGAAGAACCTGCGCGTGTGTAGCACCCCATGTGCGCACCCCGATTGTTCCCCTCATATAGTCAAGGGGCAAATCACACTCTCGCACTCTGCGCCCGGAATTCTGCACTACCTGCAGCATAGGCCGACGCGAATAGTTTGATGCACATTGGACGCATTAAATGTGCGCTTTACCGAGGACCGTGGTCCCTTATATACCAAGTGCTTAGATTTGGAGGCCAAAATTGTTTTACAATGGAAAGAATTGGGCATCACGTACATTCATACAATCCCCTGCAAAAAGTTCTCTTCACCTAAACAGACGGTAAGCTACGCGAGAAAGGACCCCTGGAGACGTAAAGATACGCTTGGTAAGGCAGAGATTGTGAAATAGGCATCGGTTTAAGAGAATAGTCATTCGTTACCGGTAATAGGTGTTCAGCATCGACAATAGGTGTTTGGGCCATCAATAGGCGTTCACGAACGCCTATGCTACTAAAGTTGTCGTGCCTCTATTCAAGACCTTCTAAAATGGGGTCTTTTCGCTGCTCTGGCCAAAACTCACCCAGATCTTGCGACAGAGCCGTCCCAAAACAACTAACTGCCTGTCGGTTTCAGTCTGTTTCACAAACAGATTTATCTGTTTTGTGCTATTGGGGACC